TAAGGGAGCATAAATTCACTGAAACAATGTGATGGAATCCATCACTCATACTTAGGTTATATATGGTCAAGAAATGTGAAATTATATTGTTTTAAACCCATGAGCCCAGCCCCTTCTGTGCAAGGAATTTGTCACAGGAAGTGTAATAAGACTGGCTAATTATGTAAGAGAAAACTGCAATGGCCAGCATTTCAGACATTTAACGGATCAGAGATTCAGTAGAAGTTACATAAAATTGCTTGGTTACACTTTATCAGTGCATTACAATGGTTCAAAACAGATTTTAGTACTTAAATATGTTGGTTTATTAACATTACATCAGTTAATGAAATATGGTATTTTATTGTGAATTTAGATTAAGTCTGTAAAACCTAAAATGTTGCTACCATATTCTTTACGGTGAAGTTTTGGCAACCACAGCTGCCGGTATTTTACCGTAAATGTCACAGATTATTTTTTACAGTGTACAGCCATATCTAAAATGTCTTGAGTAGAGACGGTACACCTCATTACACATGCAACAGAAACAAAACCTGCAATATATTCACATGTGTGAACTATAAACCACCTAAAATGTTGCTACCATATTTTTTACGGTGAAGTTTTGGCAACCACAGCTGCCGGTATTTTACCGTAAATGTCACAGATTTTTTTTTACAGTGTACAGCCATATCTAAAATGTCTTGAGTAGAGACGGTACACCTCATTACACATGCAACAGAAACAAAACCTGCAATATATTCACATGTGTGAACTATAAACCACCTAAAATGTTGCTACCATATTTTTTACGGTGAAGTTTTGGCAACCACAGCTGCCGGTATTTTACCCTAAATGTCACAGATTTTTTTTTACAGTGTACAGCCATATCTAAAATGTCTTGAGTAGAGACGGTACACCTCATTACACATGCAACAGAAACAAAACCTGCAATATATTCACATGTGTGAACTATAAACCATGTGTGTAAAACAGAAATTTGATTACCAGGAAAACCAAAACATTGTGTCTGGTCACTGAAGCTGTGCTTGTTGATTCTCAGACTAGCACATTGTTGCTCTGCGTACATTATGAATCAAACTAATAACCTTCGAGGTCTCATGAATGTCCATTCAGGTTTATTTCAAAATATACTGGGAAGTCAGTGAATTGCAGGTACTGTCTGCACTTAACGGTGAAAAGCTGACCCTTATAACATACTTAGTTTATAACAGTTGTAGTTCAGTGAGGAGTTTGAATGAGGTGGAGGATGTGGGTGAGTTCATTAGGGCCAGGATTTTACGCGTCCCTGGATTCTAGTTAACAGTCATGAACCGGAAAAGTGATGACATCATCTAAATGCCAATATTAATAGTATATGTGTTGTATTGCAGGTTTAAATGTTCTTAAATATAATTATTCTTTAATAATTCTATGTAAAAGAAAAATTTCTTGTTTACACTACCAGTCAAAAGTTTGAAATAATTAAGATTTTTAATGGAAAGAAGTGTTTTATACTGACCAATGGTTATTTGATCAAAAATACAGTAAATAAATATTGTATTGTAATATTGTAGAATATTAATATTTTTGTTGAAACTGTGATACACTACAACTACAAAAGTTAAAGTTAGAAAATTAACTAAGTTAGAAAATTAAATTAAACATTAAATTGGTCAAAAGTGACAGTAAATAAATTTCACAAAAATATTGAGTTCTAACATCGATAATATTAAGATATGTGTAAGGTATTATCATGTAAAATAAATAATAATGTTAAGAAAAATTGTAATATACAATTCTAAATTATATAATGTAAATGTATATAGAGATCCAGGAATGCATGCTCATGATTGTGATACAGCGTGTCTCAGAACATAAGTTGAAGATAAACTGACCTTTAAAGCTAAAAGAGATGTCATGACACAGTATTTAATTGTTCACAGCAGGAGCCCTGCAAATCGCAATGTTTGCTCAAGTTCCTCTCTAAAATGAAAACAAGAAACACATATTCATCAGAGTGAACATGCTGGATTGCTTATTTTCATAGCATGCGGATGAGATGAAAAAAAAAAGCATTTTCTTTGAGGTGAAAAAAAATTCAAGACAGTCAAGGACTGCTGATGCTTAATTTTTCTGCCTGAGATGAGGCTCGTCATGAGACGGAAGTCCAGCTCTCAATAAAAGGTTGAGAAACTCTGACATAAAGGACACAGTGTAAGAGATGAAAAGCACTAATGGCCCCCAAATTGGTCATAAAATGAAGAGATACACTTGAATCATGTCACAAATGGTAATATTAGACCTCAACCAACCACCAAACCTAAAATTTGTCCAATTTCTTTATGATTAATTCTTCCTCTTTGGTCAATCCTAGTGCAAGTGTTTTGAGCCGGCCTGTCTTCACATTTTTGGCAAATGGAAGCATGATATATAGAGCACAAAAATAAAAATTTCACCAAAATTTCACTTTTACTGTTGAAATTTCATCCAAAAATGGTCTTGCATCCCAAGGCATTCATAGTCTCACATCCACTCTAAACACCACCACCACACTATTACAATTACAAACCATGTACATTTGACTCCTGAGTCGGGGGGGGGGGGTAAGAATAATTTTCTGATGTAAGTATCAAAACAATGCCCTGCCGTATAACCCCCCAACCCACCCCCAACCCAAGAGAACCGAATGACATGCAATCAATTGTGGCTGGGTTGTACATGCTTTAGTGAGTCAAACATAACTGATTGTCCTCTTTGATCCCAGCGCAGGTCTCAAACCCAAACTCTCATCACTCGCCCCAATATGATGCAGGGCCTGGATTTGAACAAGCTTGCTTTGACTCACTTCCCATTTGGCCTGGTCCACAGGGTATTGACACAGCTTTTCGGTGTTGGTTGAGGGGGGAAAGCAGTCTTTTTTACTGGGCTTCATTTAAATGAATGGAGGCATTATGGAGATGTCACAGCCGCGGACCCCTACTGCTGTATTTAAGCATTCAGTGACCAACTGACAGGTTACAGAGAGGTTCTTTTTTAAACGTATGTATTAATATAAATGAATGCGCAGTGACATTTATGCAGCAAACATTTTTTTCTTATTAATTTTTTAATACAATTATTTCCTAAGCCAATTGCTTAGGATTTGCACAATTATTTAGGCTAATTAATTGATTTATTGTTTTTGTTGATTATTAATTTTTTATTTAGTTAGTTATTTATTTAAAAGTATTATTATAATATGTAGATAGTATTTGACTGATGGACATTTCTACTTACAGTATCACACCAAAGTAATTTGCATACCGCACTTGCATATTACAGCTATTAAAATAATCATTATTGATGTATAGATTCATATAGTTCTACATTACATTTAAATTTTAAACAATACAAGAGTTTAAATATTGCATTTTAGGTTTTAATATTTTTTTAATTGTTTATTAATTTACTTTTATTATTATTATAAATAATATGTAGATTAATATTTGGCCTATGGACATTTATATTTATTTTTATAGTAGCATACTATTGTATTTGCATACTTTTTGATTATCACATTGTAAAGCCACTAAAATATTAATTATAGATATACAGACATACTTCCATATTATATTAAAATTTTACACAGTACAATTAGTTGACATTTAAATATTATATTTTTGTTTGGTGCATGCTTTTTTAAATTACTTAAAGATCAAACAATAATTAGTCCCTTTCTGTTTTCTCAGTTTTTTAGTCTTTATTATCTGCTGATATCATTTTGGAACAAAATCTATTGTGAAAAGACGTGTTTCTATCACATGAGTCAACATTTCAATGACCATTTCATTACATATTTTTCCACAGAGACACATATTTATGACATTAGAGACCGTAACCTTTTACAATCTCTGGACTCTGGGGAGACATCAGGCACCTCAGTGGAGCCAGAGCTGCTCTCTCAGTCTGGGCATCATTAAATAATCGCAAGTGTGTGAGTTTGTAGAGGTTTTCCCTTTTAATCTGAACACTGTAATATTATATTGCAGTATAGAACAACCTCACATGTCCCAGCATATACAGCAGCTGAACATATTCACCTTAAATGTAAATTAAATTGAATTAACTCTTTGCTGTCTTTGAATTGAACTCAAAACTACTGCTTTGGATTGTGTTTATTTATAAAAGATTCATGTCAGATAAAAAAAATTGGTTCACACAAAACACAAAATGGGCATAGAATGAAACCAAATACTTTTTTATATAAGGCCATGTTTTCACCATGGGTTCTCTTGAGAAACAACTAAACAACTTTGCTATAGCTACACTCTAAAAAATGCTGGGTTTACGTACTACCCAGTGCTGGGTAAAATAGGGACAAACCCAGCAATTGGGTTGTATTTAACCCAGCATTTTTTAGAGTGTACGTTTTTGCATAGGATAACATGGTGAGGATGGAAGTAGTGTATCATATTTAATACATGAATCCTGTAAACAATCTACTACATGCCTTCTGTTGTCTGGTTGAACTTTTTTTAATAAGTAAAAGTATAATTTTAAAGTGCCTTCAGGTTATGGTTCACATGTATTTTTGCTGTGAAATCTTTACTGATTTTTTATCAAATAAACATAAGAATTAACTTTATGTTAATATTTCAAGAGAAACATTTACTGAAACAATTTGTTTATTGTACTATATATTTTTTTCTACAAACATCATGCTAAGAGGTTCGTATCAAATATTATGCATCGGGCTTTTTCTGGCCATATTTTTGGCCATATAAATAACATCTACAGCAAATTGCATATTTTTGGATTTTTTTTTTTTTTTACATCACGCGTATGATTTAGAGTTTCTTTTAGATATTGAACAATAAACTGTTCAATTAAAAAAAAAAGAAAAATCGAATGTCAGGCTTCACATGGTTAAACACTAGAGGATCGCGTTGTTTCGCCCGTCCTGTAGGTGGCAGTCATCTGTGTGTAGATTCCGTATGGTCGAGCACGAAAGACAGCGCTTGTCAAATGTTTTCTGAAGGTAGGCTCAAACGGAGCTCCAGTTTCATTCTAACAGCAGATGAGGAAGTCAAGCACTGTCCGTGACCGAGTTCCACTTTCAGCAAGTAAGTGTCCTGTGTAGTGTGGACCGTGCCATGTCGCAGTCATTTCTGTGTATAATTTATTGCTGTATAAAGTTTGTAGAGTTAGTTTAAAGTTAGAGTTTAAACAAGGTCGGTTGAGTGATGGTTTGTTTGACTTGGCAGCTGAATCGTCTGATGATGCGATGAGAGGAGGATGTTGTATTCATAATATGTTTTGCTCAATCACTCAGTTTCTGTCTGGAGCTCAAATTTGTCTTATATCTTGTCCTTTTACTCGTCATAATGTTTTATTGAATAGAAAAAGCTGCATACGAGCTGTTAGTTATGAGGTACAGTGCACTGCATTCCTGCTTGACTCCTTCCAGTTGCTCCATCATCCAGCAGCATGGCATCTGGGCTCTGTGTGTCCTGGCCTCTTGTGACTACTTTTAAGGCAGTGTTAAAATGCAGCCATCAGTCTGACAGCTGCAGATCTGACATATTCTCTGTGGATCATGCTCTACTACTTGCATGACATGTTTGTTCATTGTGGTTAATTTGTGAGGTTGGTATGTGCCAGTTGCATGCAAGTGTCTTAAAATGTTTACAACTCTCAATTAATTAAAGTTGAGGGCCAAAAAGGGGATAGTTTAACCCCACACAAAAAATGAAATAAATAACATAATAAAGAGAGAGAGAGAGAATTGCTTCCTGTATGACTTACTTTCTTTTGTGGGATATTGAACATAATTCTATTCTCTTCTCCACAGAAGAAAGTAAGTCTTACTGAATTTGACTGTGGGTGAGTAAATGATAGAAAAGCTTATTTTTTTCTTCTTCAAGGAACAGGATTTTTTCAAGATGTTCCTAGTTTGATTCTACCTTCAATATGTTTAATTTTTTATTTTATTTAGCGGTATAATAGAATAGCAATGATTTTTACTATGGACTGATAATGATTAACTTTCTAGTTAATTATACACCATTTTAGACCAGTTATGCAATTTAGCACTCTTCATATTCTACAACTGCAAGCTCATTTGATTGTATTTAAATTTTATTGCTGTGCACATTATTAATTATTGTGCAATTATCAATACTTTCTGTCAATCATTCACTTTAATACTTTCACTTTCTTGCAATTAATTTGCATCAAGGATAAACCAAAACAGTTCTAACTTTAAGTAAATAAATACATGAATAAATTAGATTCTTCAAAATGTTGAAAAATATGGTTTGGTCTATGACATTTGTTATTTTATTGTCAACAAAAAATGCAAACCAAAACATTCATACCTTTAAATAAACCCATGAAGTACATTTTTCAAAATATTGAAAAATTCGGTTTGGTTTACTAAAGTCTTTGGCATTTATCATATTGATAAATAAAAGAAAAACGAAACATTTATAATTTTTCAATAAATAAAGTACTTTTTCAAAATGTTGCGAAATTTGTTTTTATTTGCTAAAATATTTGACATTTTGTGAACAAAAACAAAAATGCAAACCAAAACATTCAAACTTTTAAATGACTAAAGAGATAAAATAATGTTTTTTTTTTCTTCTAGAAAATAACTTGGTTATAGTAGCACAATAAATCATATGATCACGTTCAGTCATTTGGTATACAATTGTATTGCAGTGCTGCTGTTATTCTCTTTATCTTAATGATAATCATTTACGACAGAAATACACTGTTAAATAGTGTCAATCCTCCCAATCATAATAAAAGCACTTTACAGGATATGATCCCAAAGGTCATTGGCTCTCTCCGTAAGTAGCTGCTGGACTGCTAGATTCATCATCACAGGATCATGTTGGCATGTTGCTGATATAAACTGGACAAACACCACTTTGGACCTCATTGACTTTTATTATATGGGCAAAAAAAAAAACTGAGACATTTTTCTAAATATCTTATTTTTGTGTTACACAGAATAAAGAAATGCATACAGATTTGAAATGTCAAGAGAGTCTGTAAATGCCACCAAAATTCCAGCCCAGCAATGTCGGCTTAACCAATGGCATGAGTTTAGGGCGGAGCTATCTTTTTTTGACCAATAGCAGATAAGGGTGTGTTCAGGTGTGTTTTTTGCAATTCCAAAAATGTATAGACTGTATAGCTGTCATAAACATAAGAAATCTGTCCACTTAAGGCTGAAAAATGAATAATCACGATAGACATTTACATAGTGCATGTTGAACGTTACATACTTGGACATACTTACTTTGGCATGTTTGCTTAACACAAGATTGCATAACACAAGAGAGGCCCTGCAGAAGAAGGCAATGAGTTTCTGATCACTATATGTTCAAAAAGCACTCAAAAGACTTATGTTCTTATTATCTTGTAAGGATGTTGAACTCTGGTTGCTTTGTGGCTTCAGCTGTAAGTGATAGCATTTATTTATGAGTTTGTTTATCTGCATGTGTGTGTGTATTTCCTGACCCTGGGTTGCTGTAGATGGCTTCCTCTCAACTTAATGTTCCCTGTCAACACATCCACAGCGTAATGAGTTATCTTTGGATGCCGTAGACCTCTGCATTTGATCCAAGTCTCACCCCTCCCCCAGATTCACCTCTGCCAAGGGCCCGTGGCTATTATTGGGCCCTTGATCACATTGTTTGCTTAACACAAGATTGCATAACACAAGAGAGGCCCTGCAGAAGAAGGCAATGAGTTTCTGATCACTATATGTTCAAAAAGCACTCAAAAGACGTATGTTCTTATTATCTTGTAAGGATGTTGAACTCTGGTTGCTTTGTGGCTTTAGCTGTAAGTGATAGCATTTATTTATGAGTTTGTTTATCTGCATGTGTGTGTGTATTTCCTGACCCTGGGTTGCTGTAGATGGCTTCCTCTCAACTTAATGTTCCCTGTCAACACATCCACAGCGTAATGAGTTATCTTTGGATGCCGTAGACCTCTGCATTTGATCCAAGTCTCACCCCTCCCCCAGATTCACCTCTGCCAAGGGCCCGTGGCTATTATTGGGCCCTTGATCACATGCAAACTGTTTGCTATTTGTAGTTTGTAGTATTCTTACAAACCGTGGAATAAATTTGGACAGACACATCAATTCCATATCTGAACGGCTTGATGGGAGTTCAGACATTGTGTAAAAGTAGCCCTGGCAGAGTTTGGATTAAGCAGAAGTGCAGTGTTTGCTTAGAGGATAGCTAGCTTGACCTATATCAGCATGGGTATGGAAATGTGATATGAAACAGCATATATATATCCAACGCTGCAAGTCAGCATATTGGAAGAGATGACATGACTTTGGAAAATGTAGGCTGAGTGTAACTGTAAGACTTGTTTATATGTTGTAGGATTTTTATTAAAAAGTTTTAAAAAAGTGACGTGACATGTGGCCAAGTATGGTGACCCATACTCGGAATTAGTGCTCTGCATTTACAAATTTGGACAGACACATCAATTCCATATCTGAACGGCTCGATGGGAGTTCAGACATTGTGTAAAAGTAGCCCTGGCAGAGTTTGGATTAAGCAGAAGTGCAGTGTTTGCTTAGAGGATAGCTAGCATGACCTATATCAGCATGGGTATGGAAATGTGATATGAAACAGCATATATATATCCAACGCTGCAAGTCAGCATATTGGAAGAGATCACATGACTTTGGAAAATGTAGGCTGAGTGTAACTGTATGTTTATATGTTGTAGGATTTTTATTAAAAAGTTTAAAAAAAGTGACGTGACATGTGGCCAAGTATGGTGACCCATACTCGGAATTAGTGCTCTGCATTTAGCCATCCAAAGTACGCACACACTGTGAACACACACCCGGAGTAGTGGGCAGCCATTTTTGCTGCGGCGCCCGGGGGAGCAGTTGGGGGTTTGGTGCCTTGCTCAAGGGCACCTCAGTCGTGGTATTGAAGGTGGGAGAGAGCGCTGTACATTCACTCCCCCCACCCCCAATCCCTGCCGGTACGAGACTCGAACCCACAACCTTTGGGTTATGAGTCTGACTCTCTAACCATTAGGCCACGACTTCCCCTATTAGTATCATTACTATTTTAACTATTTTAAAACATCTGCAAAATGAATGAATGTGGTACAAAGAATGTGGTAACACTTTAGAATAAGGTTATATTATGTAAACATAAGGGCTCCAGACTAACATTTGAGAGCAGTGGCACCAGCGCCACGAAGTTCTACAGATGGTGGTGCCAGGAGCAGGTTTGGTAGCGTTGGGGGTGGTGTGGGGGAGTATTAAAATATAGATCATTTAATCATAAAATTACTATTGTTTCTCCCCTATTAGTATCATTACTATTTTAACTATTTTAAAACATCTGCAAAATGAATGAATGTGGTACAAAGAATGTGGTAACACTTTAGAATAAGGTTATATTATGTAAACATAAGGGCTCCAGACTAACATTTGAGAGCAGTGGCATCAGCGCCACGAAGTTCTACAGATGGTGGTGCCAGGAGCAGATTTGGTAGCGCTGGGGGTGGTGTGTGGGAGTATTAAAATATAGATAATTTAATCATAACATTACTATTGTTATGCATTAATAAGTGCAGTTACTAATAATATTACATGTTAATTTCTTGTTTATTTTTCTTTTGTTTATTGTTTATACACATTTGACAGTAAAGCACTAAGCTTGAGTTAAGATGCATACAAAATGTGCTTTTATTAACAACAGTAACGGGTGCAAAATCAAATTTTATAAAGAAAATGTGTATATTCCACTCTTATTAAATGTACCATTATTCTTCTAGTATATGGAACTCACCAACTTCAGTGATTATGTGTGATTTAGTAGCAAATTGAAGAAACGTTAACTTTTCTTACTTCATACACAAAAAATTCTGCCAAAATCTGATTTCTTGATGATTTGATATTTTATAATAGTGGTTTTATAATATAATTAAATGTTTTTATTTAATTTAATTCAAAATATAGAGAAAAAGTAGAAATGAATGACTAATAAACCAATAAGTGCTCCTCTGCTGCTGTCTACTGGTTACAATTGTGATTTGATGTATTTTTTTAATTTTACATAAGTGTCTGTTTACCACAAAGCATATTTTGGTCATCCCATTAAAAATAACATTCAAACTGGATCATTTTAGAGATTTAAAGTGCTGGAAATAGTGTGAAATGCTTCAAAGTAATTGAAAAGTGCTTGAATCTGTGCAGTAACAGTATCGCGAAATCAACTTTGGCTCCAGAGTAAAGCTGTTCTGAGCTCGGACAAGTTTGCGTCGCGGTGCGAGCTGCGCAGCTCAAACGTAGTTCGCTTTCATTTGCCGTTTGTTGTTTCTCAAATGCAGCGCATTTGGACAACGCGGTGGTCGCGCCAGTGCGACCGCTCACAAAAATATTGAACACTGAACAGCAATTTTCAGCAATTATTAATCTTGGTTAAAGTAAGTTCCTGCATATACTAGTTATGTTGAGGAAATTAACATTTGTTTATTAACATGAAACGAAAATGAACAATGCACATATGAATTATCATTATCCTAAACCAATGAATGCTTTTAATTATGTTTCTATTGTTGGTTCATGATTCCTGCATTAAGTAAAATATGCTAAAATTGCAAAGGTGTTTAATAATGCTTCATGAATACATTACAATATTTTACAATGTTTACATCATTTACACTACTGGTCAAATGTTTGTTGTTGGTAAGATTTATTTATTTATTTATTTTTAAAGAAGAGAAATAAAGACATCTTTTATGCTCACTAGGGTTCCATTTATTTGATCAAAAATACAGTACAAGCTGTAATATTGTTTTAAAATAACTTTTATATTTCTGTTTCTATTTAAATTATATATTTTAAATGTAATTTATTCCTGTGATGGTAAAACTGCATTTTCATTACTTCATTACAGTCTTCAGTGTTACATGATCCTTCAGAAATCATTCTAATATGCTGATTTGCTGCTCAAGAAACAATATTTATATATAAACAATACTCTTTGATGGATTGAAAGTTTGAAATCTTGTAAATGTCTGCACTGTCACTTTTGATCACTTTAATGCATACTTACAAAGTATTAATTTCTTATATATTGTGTGTTGGCTCTTTATTGCAGGTAAGAACAAGAATTAACTTTGTGAGAGAAATTAATCAAGGTGAAATCATAACATGTTCATGGTTTTGGAAGGATGACACCAAATTTGTAAGGATTATACACACCGCCATTTTCTAAGACAACCTTGGCATTGAAGTAACTTCTGGACCCTCGTCTGACTGGATTACACACCTCATCTATGTAATGTTTCCACCACTGAGCTTCAGCACGCGATGGTACGCTGGGAATTTGGCTGTTTGACGGAGACTCGACAGAAATGTCGAAGTCAAGTGGACTTCCCCGGCTCCTGATTGGAAGTGAGGGTGGTGAGAGCAGAGAGCTGGATGAGAGAGACATGAGGAACATCTCAGGACATTATGGGGAGGACGAGGAAGAGGTACAGAAAATGTTTCATGGATGGATGAGCTTTTTTTTTTATTTTTGATTTGGTGATGCTCATGTGCTATCTTCTTCTATTAGTCAGAGCGTCAGATTGTGGTGGGGATCTGCTCCATGATGAAGAAATCGAAATCCAAACCAATGACTGAGATTCTGGAGAGGCTCTGTAAGTTTGAGTACATCACCGTGGACATTTTTCCAGAGGAGGTTATACTCAATGAACCGGTGGAGAAGTGGCCGTTGTGTGACTGCCTCATTTCCTTCCATTCCAAAGGTATCTGACATCACACACAGTTTCACACGCAATCAGCTTGAAATCTCGATGTGACATATTGTCTCAGTATTATTAATGCTGCCTTCAAAACATAAATGAATTACATTTAAAATTCTATTAAAATATAAAACAATCATTTTTAATGACATTACAGTTTTTACTGTATTTTTGGTCAAATAAATGCAGCCTTGGTAAGCAAAAGAGACTTCTTAAAAAAGAAGTGACAGCCCCAAATTTTGATGTTAATTGATGCAAATGAATACAATATTTTTTTTCTCCTCTTGAAGGATTTCCCCTTGACAAAGCAGTAAATTATGCCAAACTAAGAAACCCCCTTCTTATCAATGACCTCAACATGCAGTATTTCATTCAAGACAGGTGTGGCAAATCTTTCTCTGAAATATTCTTGACAAGCAAACCCTGTTATGAGTTGACTGGGACATATAACTCTGTGCTCACGACTTTAGGAGGGAAGTGTACAGGATTCTACAGGAAGAGGGCATTGACCTTCCACGCTACGCAGTGTTGAACCGGGACCCTGACAGACCAGAGGGTAAAGATTATTACCTTGGTCATAACTTTGAAGAATTTTCCTGCATCCTTCAGCGTGAAGCGTGGCACTGTTCATTTACAAGCGTGCAGCTAATGATCCCGTGTTTTCAGTGTCTCAGATAGGCTCTGTGTTATTTTAGTGTCATTGATATACTATTATAGTTTTGTTCATATTTTTAAATTACATTTTGTTTTTATATTTTCTGTTTAAATTTTAATTCAAGTTTTAGTTATTTTGTTGAGTTTTTGTCCTCATATATATATATATATATATATATATATATAAGTATTAAGTTTGATAAAATATATAATAAAATAAGTTGTAAATAAGTGTATTTATGTTTAATTTTATTTCCTTTTTTTATTGTTTTAGTTCATGATAATAACTCTCTTTGCATATTTAGTTTAGGTGGCATTTGGAAACATTCCCAAGCTTGTAATGAGGAGCACTTATAACCTTGCAACAAAAATTTTCAACAAAAGAAAAGCTTTAATGGCTCCTTGCGGTTTTCATGAAAATAAAACTTGAAGGTTTAACATTTGAAAATAAAGAAATTAAGACAGATATTAATGTTGTCATTTTACAGCTGAAATACAACTATTATTATTATTATTATTAAATACTCATTTTTGTAGTAGTAATATTTCTTATTTTGTTTAATATTTTTATTTTGTAATAATAAAGAATCGCGACAACAACTATCATTATTATTTTATAGTCATATTATATCATGTAAAATTTTGGCCAAATTGTGTAGCCCTACAACAAGCACAGCAAACCAAGCTTTAAATCTTAATTGCAATGTTTATCAGAGAAATCGCAATTACATTTTTTTCGCCACATCATGCAGCCCTAATATGCTTTCCCTTATGTCATTTCAAATCCAGATGCTGTTTTATTTTTTTGGGGTGAACTGTTCCTTGAAGTTCCTCATAGTGTATACTGTATACATAAATAGCCTCTGTATTGCGAAAGATTGTGACATTTTGACTTTGCGACATCAGAATGTAACCTGGTGGAGAGCGAGGACCATGTGGAAGTGAACGGGGAAGTGTTTCACAAACCCTTTGTGGAGAAGCCTGTCTCCGCCGAGGACCACAATGTCTACATCTATTACCCAACCTCAGCCGGCGGTGGCAGCCAGCGTCTCTTTAGAAAGGTACAGTACTGATAGCTTCTAATAACTTCAGAATTGTTTGGTGTGGAGCTCAAACTATCCATCCTATAGATTGGCAGTCGGAGCAGTGTGTATTCTCCCGAAAGTACAGTTCGTAAGACTGGTTCTTACATCTACGAGGAGTTCATGCCCACAGATGGCACAGATGTTAAGGTACATATGTATTTCATGTCAAGACACTACTGTATGTAGTGGCCGGATAGTTTGTTTATTCCTGATGGATGTTGTAGGTTTACACAGTAGGACCTGATTATGCTCACGCCGAAGCCCGTAAGTCTCCTGCTCTGGATGGGAAAGTGGAGAGAGACAGTGAGGGGAAGGAGATCCGCTATCCTGTGATGCTCACCGCAATGGAGAAGCTTGTGGCCAGAAAAGTGTGTCTTGCATTTAAGGTGAGCCTCACAAAAGAAATACACAGTGTTTTCACAGCTGTAGGTTAAGAGTGATAATGAATGTGTTTTTTGTCTCATAACGTCTTTCCAACCCAGCAAACAGTATGCGGTTTTGACCTCCTCCGAGCAAATGGTCACTCTTTCGTTTGTGACGTTAATGGCTTCAGCTTTGTAAAGAACTCCATGAAGTACTATGATGATTGTGCCAAAGTCCTGGGGTAGGTGAGGCCGTGTTGCTGTCTTGTTGTCTTTGGTAACTCGAAAATCTCATCATCATGCAATTTGTACTACAGAACCACATACAGTGTAACACCTTTTTTAAAGTTGTAAATAAAACAGATTTTTGGAGTACATTTTAAAAGAAAGTATTATTTCAGTCTTTACACTTCAAAATTTCAAAATTCAATTTGATTCTTGCCATTTCTTTGTAGTTACATGTGAAATTTATTTGCAATTTCTGAGTGGAAAGTAAATTCTAGACCAATTTTTTTTTTCAGTGTAATATCAAATCATTTTGCCATTTCTTTCAAATTCAACACATGCTCATCAAACTAACATTCAGTTTTAGCTTGAAATTTAAAATGCATCTCTTCTGAAAAAACATCTTAATTTTTTAGCTGACCACCAAGCTAAACTAGCTAAATACTTGGCAGGCTGGGAGCTAAGACCAGCTTAACCCAGAGAAGACAAGCAAAACAGCAAGTTTAAATTTTTTATTTATTTATATAGTGCTTACTACAATACGGGTTGTTTCAAATCAGCTTAGCAGTAATAAACAAGTAAATAATTGTATAAATGTTGCAAATTTCCTTAACTATGAAACGAATACAATTTCAGCTTTAAAGCTGCTCTAAAAAGACAATAGTGACATTATCCAGTTCAGTTTAGACCAGTGTTGATTCAATTTATTTCATTAACTGGGTAAATATTGCAAAGTTTATTAGTTATAAAGCAAAGTCAGTTCAACTATAAAGCAGCTCTACAGAAAGCAATGGTGTCATTAGTCAGCACAGATGTATTCATTGCTATGTTAAAAGGTAATTTCTAGATATTTTAGCTCACATTTGATGTCTTTCCTTCAGGAACATGGTGATGCGAGAGCTGGCTCCTCAGTTCCACATTCCCTGGTCGATCCCCATGGAAGCAGAAGACATCCCTATCGTCCCAACTACCTCAGGAACCATGTGGGTGTACCATTCTTGTACTAAGAATGCATTTCACGGTTTCTTAGGTTTTTATTGTGGATTCTTGATTATTAAAACCAATGAGGTAGAATTAAACGCTTACAATGAGTGATGTTGCTTTTAAAATATGTCATCTCTTGTCTGAAGGATGGAACTCCGTTGTGTTATTGCTGTAATTCGCCATGGCGACCGTACGCCCAAACAGAAGATGAAGATGGAGGTCAGGAATGCCCTGTAAGTGACATTCTAATAGGCTGCTTTCACACTGTAGCTAAATATGGTAATCTGAGTGCTTATATTTTATCATTTAAATTAAATAATTAAAAACTTAAGTGGTCAAAGTTAATGAATTAAACAGAATAGGGATGTTCGTTTGAACCGTTTAACCGGTTAACCGATTGTAAAAATTTTGACCGATTAATACAATCAGTAAAACGGTTTTAAAAGTCGTTTAATTATTTATCTTCTCAGTAATTTATTAAAATATTGAAAAAGGTTTGCTGCATGGTTAAAATACGCTAAGCGTATAAAAAAAATTTTTAAGGGGGAAAGAAAACATAAATCGCATATAAGTCGCATTTTATTATTTCATTCAGAAATAGCCTAGGTCTAATGCCGACACGAAATGTTTACAAACATTATAATAAACACTGTAAACAAATCCTTTCAATTAACAGTAGCCTATTTAGAAAAGAACAAGAATTAAAAATATTAGAAGCTATAGCAATATAAAAAAACAAGCCAAACGAATTAATTTAGGCTCAAACGAAACTGAAACCAACAGTTTCTCATTCGACACAAAATCAAATGTTTCCGTATTCGCGATGTATTGGAATGGCAAATTATTATTTATTATGTACTACACTCACGTTCCAATATCCACGTAAAACAAAATGTTTTGCATAACATCACGGCGGTACTGTAATAACACTTAACGGCACAGATTTTGCTACATATTTTTTACTACATAGTTTTTTTTCCATATGTTTGACTGACTGTATTTTATTATGATAATGAACAGGCTGCATTGTCAAGGTAGCAATGCTTAACTGGCGCAATCACTTGAATTTTTTCCTTCTAACAGTGGAAGAAACTACTCCTTTTAGTCCCAAAGATAATCGGAATTGTAAAAGATTTGCCTTTACCTTCTTTCTGCTGTCTGTTTCCTTTCGCGCAGCACAAAAATGAACTGAAACTCTGCGTACTAGACTTGTTGCACAGTTTTATTTAATTTATTATTTAAGTGTGTATGCCTATTTATTCTTTATATATATATATATATATATATATATATATATATATATTGGCTGTGTCTCTCTAAAAAAT